CTTCAGGGGCCAAAAATGTTGTGCTGTTTTGCAGAGCTGCTCAGTGAAGGTTTTTTTTTTTTTCATCTCTTCCCCTCCCCTCCCCCCTCCAGCCTTCTTTCAGCCAACCGCCTGTTGTGGTCACAATCTCAAATAGCAAAGACAGGGAAATTCCTTGATTATATTTAACCTAGAACTCACTCTTCGTCTCAAATAAGAGAGGTATCTATTCACAACTCCTTAGAAATTTTGTGTGCCCCAAACAAAGGAAAAGAACCTTTACTAACTTGTCTAAATATTCTACTTCAAACACACTCAGAAACATTCTTTATAATTTTCTTAAAAGGGTGTTAAGATAGAAAATCAAACACTTCAGAATATTTAAAAATATATCAACATTATAAAATTATTTCAAGTGTCCTATTAATCAAAATATTCTAATTTAGTTCAGTCTCGATCAGTTTGTCTCACTCTCTTTCGTCTCATTTTCTCTTTTTGCTTTGATTTGATCTACTTTGCAATAAAATCATAACATTGTTCATATATTCAGAAATTCACGTGGCATCATTGAAAGTTTACATACAGGATGATTTCTTTCCTTTTTGAAATTGGACTGTAAAATTACCCTGGTTCTGTGGATTTGGAAATTGAATGAAATATGATTCAGAAACTAAATTAGTATAGACTCTAATAGGAAAAAAAAAATCATGTGCCAAAGTGTCATTAACATGACAAGTTCACATTTTCTATTTGTCCCCAATCACAGAGTACCTGTAAACTAATGAAATCAGTAGATGACAAAATTGTGAGGCAATTTAAAGTCCTTTTGGAGACATGTGACATTTCCCTGTAGGAAATTCTGATTCAAAATGTGTCTCCTAAAGATGTTTTATTTGTTGCTTCAGCCAGGATAGAAGGGAGAAGCTATTTAAAACTTGACATTCTCTTCCTTTACTTAGCCTGAGTGTCTAACATCTGTGAATTGTGAAATTCACAAACATGCTGGCCTGAGCCCCAGCCAAATCAAACAGCTTGTTCCACAAAATGTGAAACTTGAAGGGAAGATCATTTGGCTAATTAATTATATATTTGTTAATTGGAGTGAAAGTCCTTGGCTCTCTTCCCTACTATTGGCAAAAAGGGATGACCTAAATACAAAGTTCTTCAGTTGAAAACAATCCATTTTCTGTAATCATGACCAAATAATTCCTTCACATGGGTCATTGATATTTTCATTTACACAATGAATTAAATGATATTTCAAGAGCAGGGATTCTCAAGTTTTAATGTGCTTGTCACTCACCTGGAAATGCAGATTCTGGCAGGGAAACCCTGTGGTAAAGCCTGAGATTGCATTTCCAAAATATCCACAGGTCATTCCCCAGTGGCTGACCTTCGTACCACATTTTGGAGGAGCAAGGTCTTGACTCTTTCCGGGTTTTATTTACAATTCAGTGGTTCTAGGGGGAAAAAAAAGCTCTCATATTTTAAATTTCCATCCAAGACTATGGACTCTCAGTGGATTTGCAAGCATTCATAGTGTATTTATTTTTTTAAAATTTATTTTAGAAGGACTAGAAAGTTTCGCACATACCCATCCACAACCTGAGAAAATAAGTGACGATTATACTATAATTACTATAGCTGCCTCTACATTTATATTACATCCTTTTCCCTCAGGAGACTCAAGTTACTGTATAAATGTATAAATTATTTCTTTGGTATGCCAGCCAGACACTTTTCAGAGACTTTAAGTCTTTTAGACAATGATTGCAATAGAATAAATTAAACAGAAGCCTAGGAGGAAGTAATTGCCTTCCTCGCCTGCCTGTTTGAATGCTATTTGTGAACGCACTTGATTTATATGGAGGGTAAGAAGGAGGGCATTGTGAAGTAGCAGAGTTTAAGGTCTGGAATGATGGACATAGGTAAGAGGGAGGAAATCTTTGCCTTTGCCACTTGTAACCGCCAGGAATGTGCGCTGCAACAAATTCAGGTTCTTATATCCTGTCTTATATCCATGAAATTTATTCCCCAACTCTTCTTTTCATGCCCTCTCTCCTGTAGGTTACATACCTTACTGGTTGCCCTCCTGTCTTTGATTGTATTTTGCCTTATCAGAGATGCTTTCAAACCTCATCTGCATATCCTCCAAAAACTAAAAAGTCTCTCCAACTCTTCTAGATAAAAGGAACCTGTAGTATCTTTAATTTTCTAAATCATTATACTGTATCCACATTTCTTGACATAGAGATATCTACAACTTCCCTGTTAAATGGTAGCTAGTTTTTGCTCTGAGGTATGAACAATCCGGGGCCAGTCTGGCTACCGGATTCACTTTGGTATCTTCAGAGACAAGAGCATGTTGTACAATGAATTCGTATGTTTGTATTTTTGCAAAAAAAAAAAAAAAATCACCTAATGATAAATATTGCAACTGATTAAAATAATTTCTGTAAGACACTTGATTTTTTAGAATCAGTTTTATGATGTATAAACTTTATATAGTGAAATCTATCAGTCATAATGGTTTAGTTTTAGGCATTTTGATGCACTATGTACCAAGTATTCTCCATCAGAACCAAACATGAAACTTTTCTGTTAACCGAGATTCCTCATACCCTTTGCCATCCCTCACTGCTATCCTTAGGCAGGCACTGTCTCGCTTTTTGTCATTGGAAATTAAATGTATAATTTTTGTAGAGTGTTTGTTAACCAATAGAACTTTCAGTAAAGTATTTATATTTGTTTGGTTTTTCTTTCTTTTTGGTACTAAGGATTGAAGCCAGGGCTTTTGCACTGAACTCCACTACCAACCTCTTTTAATTTTATTTATTTATGTAGTTTTGAGGCAGATTTTCACTAAGTAACTAAGTTGCCCAGGCTGCTTTCAAACTTGCAACCTCCTACCTCGGCCTCTCAAGAGTTCTGGGGATTGCATGGGTGGACCACCATGCACAGTCTAAATTTGCATTTTCTGATATAGTTGCCTCTTATTACAAGAAGCTACTATGAGTGAGAAGTTAAATTTTTGTTTTTATTTACTTATAATCAATCTAAATTTTGGTAGCCACTTTTTGATGTGTGTTGGGCATCATAAAGCTAGAATGCCACATAAATGGAGGACGACTATACCTCTTCTTTTGTTCCTATGTTCTTTAGGCACACTGATTCTGTTGTTTTTCAGACACAATCATATTGTTAACTGTATCAGCATGCTAGAATTCCTATTAATGTTGGTCATGTGAGTTTTTGATGTATAATTTACCCGCAATGAGTAGTGTTCATTTTTAGCAAGTAAGAACAAATTATGATCTAAGATGCATAACTATGGCTAGAACTAGAGTCCAAAAGGCTTTTTAAAAGCTCAGTGACAATATAACCCAGCATTTATCCTTGGTTCAACTGAGTTACCCAGAAATACAGTAGGTCCTGCTCTTCAAGAATGTTATAACTTTAAACAAGGTGGGTTATGTTGTAAAGAACTTGGCTAATCTACATTTGTCTGTGTTACTTTTAGACTGAATAAGTAGTCCAATCTTTTTGAGAATTAGATTCTTTATTTTTAAAGAGTAAAAACATATCAGTTAGGATATTTTCCTTATAAGCAATAGAAACTAACTCTGCTTTGTTCAAACCCAAACTGTAAAAACAAGTAGCAAGAAACATACAAATTCCAAGTGGAGGAGACATTTGGAAACTAGGCTTTATAAAAGGTTGGAACTAGTATTGTTTTAGAGACCTAATTAATATCAAACACAGATTCAGTTCACAGTGCCAGTGTAAACATAAATCCATTCTCACAGATTGTTTGCACTTCAGTCAGTGAGCTTAAGATTCAAGTTCCCAGAGGGGAGATGCCACCAGTTGGGTCAAGAAGAGTCTGAACACTTTGACTGATACCTTCACCTGGACTGCAGAGACAGCATTCAAATGAAAACAGAGATTCTGTGAACCAAGGCAAAGGGTGTAGGTATGGGGCAACGGGAAGCCACAGATGCCACCCTGAGAGACCTGAAGCATTTGGTCTTGCATGTTCCCTAGGCTCTGCCAGGCTGTGTGTGTGAGCACTGTGTTGTCAGCGAAGCCAAATTCCTTCGTGTCATGTGGCTGAACCTCAGGATCTGTCCTTACCAGGTTGCTACTTTCTTTTTAATAGGGGAATTAGGAGAGAAGTTTCTAGCATATTAAGTGGGTGGAGTTAGTCCATGAACTGTCCCACAAAGTGAAGAGACGGAAGAGTTTGATAATTTTTAGTTATTGGTGCTTTTCAAGCCATAACCTTAGTTCTACCAATCTCTATATTACAGAGGAGGAAACCAAAGCTTGGCTTTGAGGGCGGAGGAGTTCCAATTAATTCTTCCAACTTTATGCCCTATAAATCCAATATTTCCTCCACTTTGACAAATAAGAGGAAGAAAGCTGAATCTAGAAATTAAGTGTACTGGAAGGTGGCCAGTTTTTGAGAAAGCAAATACATCACAAGCTTAGCCATGATCTTCAGCTGATTTCACCTCTACATTTTTGCAGGTCCTGGAACTCATCAAAGGAAAATTGTAGCTCAGTGATCTCTTTAGAGTCTCCCGAGAAGAAAGAAGATGCTTCAGTGCTCTATCCTAAGGAAAGGGACACTTTTCTATTCGGAGGGCATGCAAGGCAACACAGAAGCCAATTCGATAGGGAGGAGGCTGGCAGTTTCCCTAACAGACAAACCTGATACCCTCCGAGTCACACCCAGTGTCCCAAAGCAATGTGGGTGGGCTACTTTTCCAGACATCCCAGAACAGCTGTGTGGGGGCTGAGCTTCACTCCCTCCCTGTTCTTTGCCCAAAGGCCACGTGAGCGACAGATAAATAAGGAAACACAGGAAGTCCTTATTTGGCACTGCCCAGATTTTTTTTTGTCTGAACCATTTGTCAGATGAGGATCAGATGCACCTTTGCACTTTAGTGTGCATTTCCTAACGTGAGGAAATCTCTTTCATCATCCCAGCTCTATCGCTGTAATCAGGAAATTAACAA